AGTCTTCAAAGTGGTGAAGGTCTTAATGTCTTACCAAATAAGAATAAAATTAAACCACAGGCAGAGTCATGTGGACCAACAAATCAGATGTTCCAGGAGAAAATGAGAATTTTTCTGAAGTGCTTGTGCCAGCTGAACTTCTTCCTCTTTCAGCTAGTTGAATGTCATTATATAAGGCTGTCAGTGAACATATCTTGAGACTTGCAACTATTTTACAAGTTAAAACAATCAAGGATTATTTTGATACTGTTGAGAAAGGGCAAGGTACAAAGCTTGTGTGTAACTTTCACTATTTTCCCCTTTGTGGCTGTTTGGAGCAGTTATCTGGTCCTGTTCTTTCCCTTAACCATGTTGTAAGGAATACTGCATAGGAGAACAAATAGGCTTATTATTGCAATAAAATGAAGCATTGCTTTATTAATAAGGCAACACTGAAACTGCTCTTAAAATAGATATCCCTCACTTCTGCAAAAGTCCTTGTTCTACCAACACTCTTCACAACTAGCTAGATAAGAACCTCCCTACCTCCCACTGACTAAACATATATGTGAGCAAACACTCTTCTCTAAATTAATCTCTGGGACTGTTGAACATATGATATGCTATGTATACTCTGCTATTATATTTTTGAAAATATTCTGATAGCACCTCTTGTAGGAGCAGCTGGATTGGCTGCAGATACGCATATCTTACTGGGTGATCTTTTCCTTTCTGCCCCTTCAGGAATAAAAATGACTACAGGCCTTCTTGTGCTTAAATTCTTGTCCTGATCATTGCAGGCAACAGCTTTTAAAACTCCTGTGAATTGTGACTTAAGTCCCTCTTCAAACTTTTCTTTCTCCACTGCTCAAAATGAAATCCATAATCCTCTGATCTTCTGAGCAAATATGTTCATGACCATTTGTGCTTGTGCCAACACTGGCGTTTAGCTTAATTAGCTGTTCTACCTTCATGGGATTTGCCTCATGTATTTACAGAAAAATTATCTCTAAGCCTAGGCTGGTGCAGAGTTACTTGTGACTGCACTGCTTAAATATCACTGGAGAATGAAATTTATTCATTTGTTTGCTGTTGCTGCAAAGCTGTAGCTTGTGGTACTTCCAGTCAGAGGTACCGTTTCTGCTTCATGTCTCTTCCCAGGGCCACAGGGGCCAGTTCTCCAAGGCTTTTATTGCTCTTAGTATTCTTCTTGGCTTCCATGCTTCAAAATAAAGGTCTGTTATTTCCTGAGCATGGGTGTAGGCCAAACTTGGTTGCTTTTGAGAATGAGTTCCTCTGCACATGCAAATTGTTGTAGTGCACAATTGCATTTATCTGTCTTCCTCACCTTCCCGTTGCCTTATGTGTGGATTTCCAACTCATCCTAGTTGCTAGTGCTGGTATGTTCTAGCAGTGGAGAAATATAGTTAGAAAAATTTGTAGCTTTCAAGCACATAAATCCAAACCCTCTTATTTTTCAGAGCCAGTAGGTTACATGTAAGTGGATGCATTCTGGGATGAAGATGTGGCCTGCAGGGTAGTTGTTCAGCTGAAGGAGTTGGCACCGAGAGCTGTGTGAGGCAGCCAGAAGTAGGACTGGCTGTCACCTTCTTCCTCTTGTTAGAAGGCATTGGCTGCAAGACAAATTCTCTGGATCAAAGCTTTAGCAGCTTAGGTCTACTCTACAAGGAGCACTTGAAAAGTAGTTTTGCAATGTAAATTTATGACATTATGAGGTTTCTGCATGCAAAAGGAGAGCTTGTTGGTTTGAATGGAACTGCTGACTCTGGGGTTTTGCTGTTTGTTTTCTGACTCTGTTTGTAAACTCAATGTCAGCCGTGGCAAAGTACTCCAACCTTTTCCTTGCCTTCCTCATTGCATCCCATAGGTATACACTGAGTAAAAACCTGGAAACCTGAACTATTATTGTAGTACTTAAGTACACTTAATGTAATATCCCATAGTGTCCGTAATACAGTATTCAAATTAACATTCCCCTTTTGTATTTGGGGGAAATATACAGTGTGTGGGGGTAAGCAGAGCCCTCTGTAGGGTTAATGAATTTGTAGACAAAGTTGTCTTTCTTTTGTGGTTCCTGTTTTAGAAAAATGTGAATTCTGACTTAAAGCAATTGAGGTATACATCTGTCTGAGAGGTTCTGAGAAATTTTACAAGATAAAATTCTTGGATGAGTGCCTGGCCTAAACCAGTTGGAAACCAAGAGCAGCTTAAGAGTGTGTGTGGGCAAAACTATATTTTGAGTTGCCTTTCTGTTTCTTTTATTGCCAAAACATAGAAGCTTTCATGCATGAGTTGGATAAAACATAATTTCAGATTCCTGTTTATTACTGGAGTCTTTCATTAAAGAGAGGATTTTTTGGTGTGGTTTTACCTGAATTTAATGTTTAAGAAAAAAATCATGCCAAGTATGCCATGACTCATAAATGTTAGTATATAGCACATGAGACCCCTACTTTGGAAGTCAGTTGATGTGGTATCAATTTCCATGAGTCAATCAGTTTGATAAGGATCTTTCAGTCTTATTTGAAACTTAGGTCTGAAAACTTTCCTGACATAAAAATGCTTGCGTTTGAACTTGCAGTGGCACCAAACAAACTGTTCAAACCTCTCAGTTCTTCCTGAAATGTATAGGAGTTTTAAGAGGGAGAAAATATCAAAAGAAATCAAAATAATTGAGGCTGGGGTGGTGTTAGAGTGTTAATTGATCAGGGGGAAGACATTGTTGTTTGGGTGTTTTTCACTTTTTATTTCTAAAATAATTTTAAGTTTTATAACAGGTTCTATAATCTAAGCTAGCAGTTTTTACCATCTCTGTTTAGAATCAGTGCTGATAATCTTTCGCAGAAAGCCAGCCTTGCAGTTACTTGTATCAGACCATCTCATGAGATTGGCCATACACCACACACACAGAAAGAGGTTTTCTTGTTTATGAAGAACTGTGGGATCATGAGTGAAGAGCCTGCCAGGGTGGGTGGTAATTTGCTATCTCACCTCTGATTGAAAACAAAGTGGGGGCGCACCCCTAGCTGAAGAAACTGCTCTACCCATTCTGCCCAGAATGATGGTATCTGTGGAATTCAGTAGCAGTGCTGCTTGCTGTGAGCTCTCACAGCCTGTTTCGATGTGCCCTTGCAAACTGTTGTTCATCTGGGGAGGATCAAAGCTCTATTTCCATTTATTGTATTGATTTGAGTGCTGAGGGACATCAGTGAAGTCTGCAGGTGGCTTTGTAAACACTGTCCAACTATTTCCTTTAGATTTTTAAATTAATATATTAAGACATATATTAAGACAATATAACACATCTTCCCTTAAACAAAAGTCTTTAAACAAAAAAGACTAAAGAAGTGCTGAGATATTATTCCCTGTAAAAGGTTTCTTGCAGACTGGATTGATCTTGGGCAAGAAACAAAGCAAAATCTTTGATTATTCCAGTTCACAGCTGTCCAGGGTCTGTAGTTGCAACATGAGAGCTTCTGTGCCTGTTGGCTGGGCACTTGCCATTCAACTAGCATCCAGGGCTTTGGATTAGCAGTGTGAATGCTGCTTCTGTGTCAGATGGTGTAGAAAATTTCATGACATCTGAAACCAATATCCATACCTGTTCCTAAGCTGAAGGAGTACTGTTGTAGATACTCAGCAAACTTAGGATTGTTGGTAGTCCTATAGGAAGCACTTTTCACTTTTGCTTAGTTATTAACCCATAATTTTCTAAATGCAAATGAAGTTACAGATGGCAGGTTGGTTGAGGTGCTGTTGTATCAACCTCATGCCACAAAATCACAATGAGAATCATAGAGAAAAAGATGGCAGCCAAACAAAAACATGCAGAAGGTGGCTCGGTTGGGCATTGGAGTTTTTGGTGGGATAATCAGTAATGTGGCTACATTTCCCTACCGAATCTAAAAGAAATGCTGATATTTTCAGAACAAAGTTTCCTTTTGAGTCCTGCCAGTGTCAATATCTTTTTTTAATGGCCTGGTTGCACTCTTGTGGCCAGGGGAGCAAATGCAGTGTTTGTTTCAGGATTGTAGTGCTTGGTAGATCGATATGAGTTCAGCATCCTGTCAGCTACATCACGATGTCAGTGCTGGGCCAAAGGAAGACACCCACAACCCTGAAGGGCTGTGATGGAGCTGCCTGGTACAGAGATATGGTACAGTGAAAACATCTGTCTCTCTTCTGTCTCTTACCAGGTTTGGCACTAGGCATGCTTCTGAGGATTAAATTTGAGTTATTTATTTCTTTTTTCTCAGGCTTTCACATCCACGTCTTTGTAATCCTGAGGCACTAAGATAACCCTACCACAGACACAACTAACTCCTCCCCATGCCACTCTCTCTGTTCCTTTAAGGGTTTATTTGAAGAAGAGGTTTTTGTCTTTGACAGTTGGAATTATCTCTAAGTGGATGGGCCTCAGAAACCATGGCCTATGAAACAGAGACAAAACAGTATTTCAAATTGCTACTTGTAAATGCATTTTGGCTTGTATAAAGCAGTGAGGTTCATATTACCACATGACTTGTAATTACGCATACTCAATATGGTTATGTATAAATTATTTCACATTTATTCCATATGGTCTGTAGAACAGTGATTTGGCCTTTTTTTTTGTGTTTTTTTTTTTTTTTCTTCCTTTAAATCATTGTGATAAGTGCTCTGAACTTATTTTGGGAGGGTGGTTATCTCCCCTTCACTTTAAATTGTTCTGCTAACTGCAAGGGTGATTTAAAATATACTTGTATAATAAAAGTGTACCAATTGTATGACACTAGTTTCTAACTTTTAGGGTGTGAGTTGTCCTATTGGGGAGGAATATATTTTCATGGCCACCTTGTTCAAGAGGCCTGTAAAACAGGTTTGACTTGAAGTGACCATTTGAACTTCATAAAGTCATTTAATCACACTGAAAAACTTGTTTCTTTTAATTAAAAATGCATACATAATCTACTTCCCTGATCCCTGATATTGCAACTTGTTCTTCCTTGTCTCTTTTTTAGGGAATGTTTTGTTTGTTCTCAAACGCTGGATATGCTGGGTCAATGAACTGTTACTCCAGGAAGCAGAGCTGAGAGGACAAACTGAGAAGACATTATTGTGATGGCAAGCAGGAATGCAACACTCTCCCAGAAGTCTCTCATCTAGAGAAACATGCAAGAAAGCAACCTTTGTGACTCTTTAAACCACTGACTGTAACCCGGTCCAGGTTTGTCAGTGTCTGCTGAAAAAGACTTCTAGAACTTTAAAGCAGGCTACAAGACTGTCCTCAGCAAGATCCAAGAACTTCCCAGACTCTTTACCAGCCCTACACACAAAACAAGATGATTGATCTAAGCTTCCTGACAGAGGAGGAACAAGAGGCAATAATGAAGGTGCTGCAACGGGATGCAGAGCTTAAAAGAACTGAAGAAGAGAGAGTCAGGTAAGAGATCTAGCACCCTGCTTGTCCTGGGAAGATCTACACAGTTCCTGTGCTGTGTTACTCAGGAGTAGATTAAAACAGTTGTTGCTGAGGGCCCCATATTCCTCAGTATATGTGGTTTGGAGATTTTTTACTCTGGACTAGATTTACCATAGTCTCTGGATGGAATACCTCTACCACACAAATGATTCATTACTGGCCAGAATTATTATGGACCTTTGCAATTCCCTAAGGAGCCAAGAGCACCCTGTACACATCTGCCTGGATACACATCTGCCTTGGTTTCCTCAGAAAAGATTCAGTTTGCAAGTGTCAAAACTACTGCAGACTGGACTAATGCATAGTAAGTGAGGGACTTGGCTCAAAAGGAGTGCAAGCACCCTCAAGTGCTGGAGTTGTACCTAAAATATTTGGAGCTGCAGTCCAGAAGAAGTAACAACACGATGCCCTAATGCCACTATGCCCTAGTGCCACTATGCCCTTTCAATCCACAGATAAAGCAGAAAATTGCTCTATAATTTCTTTGTGGTGTCACAGATGGAGCAATGTGTTGTTGTTCTGGAGTGTTTTATGTGCTGGGAGGTTTTACTGGAGCTACTGTTAGGGTAACTGCCATGACTAGAAAGGCATGCAAGGAAAGTAGTGTTTTCCAGATGGCTCTGAGAAAGCTGTGTCTCTACACAGGTATAAATAGCAGTCAGATAGTTGCTCCAGCTGATATAGACATCTGCCTGCTCAAGAGTGAGGATTTTGGTAGACACTGATTTTTTTTTTATTCCAGTGTGAAGGAAATTATCCATTATAAGGTACACAAAATACTATGTGGACAAATAATGAAAAATGGAGTCTGATGTGCTGAGAACTCCAAGTGCTATAACAGAAACAAATTTTTACAGGCCTCAGTGAAGGCAGGATTTTCTCTCACTGATTTGGTAATCTTCTCTAAGATTCCTTCTCGTTGTAATGTTCCTCATGAAGTAATGTATTTCCAATTTAAATGTTTTGAAATTATTCCAACCATGATGCAACTCTGATGCTTCTTTGCTACTGAGAAAGATTTTTTTGATAAAAATGTCCTTGGTGTAGGCATACCATGTATCCTGCAAAGGAAAAGGCAGCCTGCTTCTTGCCCTAGGAGCACCATTCCTTTTGCTGAGTATCCTTCTGCAGCCCTGAGGTTCTTTGATAAGCATGTGGTCAGCATTTTGTTGAGTTATTCTGCTTGCTTCTTTTAAGAGCAATAAAGTGTAGACCAGTAGCTTGTCTTTGTTAAAAAGATTTTTCCTCTCAAAGCATTTGCTTTGCTGAAGGTAAAATCATTACAGGCACTGTTCCAAGTTCCTGCCCCCATCTTAATGCAGCCTAAGTAAATATTTTCACCACAGAGTTTTGTCTTCTGCTTCAAAAAGCAGTAAACTGACTTTTCTGTAACAGAACAGGCATTTTATTTACTGAAGGTAGAAAACAAAAACCACTGTATTTAGTCTTGGAATGTTACATCAGTGCCAGATCTGAAAGCATGCAGGGTAAGTAAATGTAGATGAGAGTTTGAAAACAGCATCTAGGGAAAAGAACCCTTCTTGGAACAGAAATTCAAAAGAGTCACTCTCAGTAGTGGTCTGAAAGGACTGTCAGAAAGTATTTTTGTCCCTGTAGCTTTACTTTTGCCATTTATAATTCTAGTGCAAGAGGGTGTGGTGGAAAATGCAAGAGACTGCAGGTTGTAGCAGCCTGTAATCATGTTTTGCAGCAGCATGTTTGCTGCTACAATAAAAAGTCTCTTCTAGTTTCTAAATATTATAACTTGAGAAGCTGGAAGCTTACATATGAAATGGATTTTTCTGCTTAATTGTGGCACATGGAGCTTGCTTTTCATGTTTTATATATTAAAACACTACTTGAATTACATCTCCAGCCAAGGAGATGCAGTACTTTAGTTGGGATTCCACAGCCTTGCACAGCTGGGAGATTCCAAGACCTGGGATCAACTGTCATCATGCAAACATCAGACAGTGTGTTATTTATATGTGTATATAATGGAAGTCTTTCAATGTGAAGTTTTTTCCTCTCCAGAAGAAATTCTGAGGTTTGAAGGGTGTTCTAATAATCTGTGCCATGTTCTTGGAGCATGGACAAATTTGTACCGTGACAAAATCCTCTTTGAGCCACTTCCTAGTGGAATTTTATAAATCACCTGATTGAGTCTCTTCCCTACTAACAGTTCCTAATATTGCTAATCTAATAAAACTCTGAGTAGAGTGGCCCATGCAGCCTCCTTAAGGGAGTCTGCTTTAAATCTTGGTTTCTTGAGGGTTGTAATAGGTGTTTCCCATCTTGTGTTGGTCAGGATCAGCATGATTAATTTTAGGTACAGCACGGCTTTTGGAACAGCACGTCTGCTTCCTCCTTCACCTCTGCTGAGGTTTGTCTCAAAGGAAAGAGGATACTGATGATCTCTTTGGCAGAAGAGTGATGAAGATATCTCAGGTGACAAGAGGGTATGATGCATGGAAAGCAAAAGAGATTGTATGCTTTTTTATTCCTGAAGCAAGAAGATGCCTCTCTTTGCTTCCTTGCATTAGGTGTTGCAGCAGTTCACTCAATGGCAGTGTTGCTGTGGATGGGACAAAGGCATAAAACAAGAGTCAGGTAACAGCTTGTCAATACTAGAAGCTGTTTTTCAGCATATTACTAGCTTAATTATTTTGGTTTTGTTGTCATCATTCCTGTCCAGGAATCTCTGATAGACCCTACTCCAGCATTGAACAAAATGAGTGGGCTATGTACGTAACTGAATGTCCTGGCAGTAGCTTCAACATAACCCCTAACTCCTTTTACAGATGCATAGCTCAGAATTAACTTAACTTTGAGCCCTTTCTGGAGACAGTAACATGAGCAGAAATATATCTGTCTGTGAAGTTGTGGAGTGTGGCTGGGTGACTCTTCTGTGGTTTGAGTAACTGGCCCCGGCACCAGCGTGTCTAAGGCAGAAAGCTGTTGTGGTCACCTTTGAGACAGGGTTCCCTGCTGTGGTGATCAGCCCTTCCCAGCAGAACCTCCTAGCAGTGCTCTTGTGGGCTGTGTTTGCTCCTTATGTAAACTGAAGGAGGTTAATGATAGCGGAAATTCTGATATGAAGTTGTTTGTTTGGTGGGTGGGGACTGCTGTGTGCCAAATCCCTTTGGTATATTAATTGGTGTGGCATTGCAAAAAGAGAGAAAATTTCAGTGGTCAGATTCTGCTGGGAGTGTGTGGCAGTTGAAAGCCTATTGTAAATGTTATTTTGGCTCTGGCTGGTTCTCACAGATATCCTCTCCAGTTACTTTTCAAGGCAGTTTTCCTTATATTGTTGACTGGTTTTTGTGAGGTGGGATATATTTAAGATATCGTGGCGAGGTTAATATTGGCATTGGGGAAACCAGACTTACTACTGTAATGTGAAAATAACTGACATCAGAATACATACTTAAAATTGTCATAAAATATTTTTTTTGTTACATGAAACTGTTTTGAGAGTGTGCTTAGCAGAGGCAAGGAGGTTCTTAGTGCACCAGTTGTGGCAGAAAAGGATAAGCTCATGTCTTCTGGATGAATTCCCCATCATGGACACTGCTTAGCACCACATGATTTTCCAAATACAGTGACTATTCAGGAAGTAGATAAATTTTATTCTCTAGCAGAATGTTCATATCATTATTTATTCTTTTTAACAAAGCCAACTGACATAAGAGGGAAGGTGGGGAGGATAGTCCCAGCCTATCTTGTAAAATGCCAGTAAGACAAACAGGACTGTTTTCTTCTTGATCAGGTGAGATAACTTAAGGAAGAGACCTTACTTACTGGTCTTGGTAAGAGATGCAGCATTGGATTACACTGAGAAATGAGCTGATACCTTTTCTTCCCAGTATTGATTACTGCTTTGTCTACTAGTAGCAGATAAATTGTTTGAAAGGATGATGATTGTTTGGGAGTGCTAGTGAAGCAGGGGAAATAGGACTTATTCTGTATGGTAAAAGAATGCACTGAATGGAAAGAAAAAGTGGATACTAATAACAATTGTAACCTGTATATTGAGTACTCCTTCTGTAAGCAAGGTTTTCCCTACAGTTCCAAAAACTTTCTTGGGAAAACTTATCACATGTTTGTACCTGACACTGTGTTGTATTATTAAGTGCCAAACTGAAACCCTCAGATTGTATCAATCTTGATTTCTAGTTCACCTGAAATCCTAAATGCAACCTTTTCTTTTGCACAGCAGGAAAGATGTCCTTGGTGGTAGTGTGAAGCAAGCTATGATACAGGCTCTTCTGCTCGCTTATATTTGCTTGCCTGTGTCATTTGGTGGGGCTGGTTTTGTGCTTTATATGCCTACTTTTAAAGCCTGTGGAGAGCTGGGGACACTGTGTGAGCAGAACCTGCCAGTTAGATATTTTCTAACAACCTTTCCAGCCCCTGTTCAGATTGTCCTGTGCTGCTGTCCAGGCAGGCTCTCATACCAAAGATGTATTGTCACAGGACACTGTGCCTTCATTGTGGGGGTTGGGTTGATCAGTTTGGTTTTCCCCGGTCAAGTTTACTTGGGTTGCATCAGAAGAGGGAGGGGAGGCCACTGGGGAGCCTCAATTCAAATCCTTTAAAATAAGCAGAGAAAATGAACAGTGTAAGGCTATTCTGGAAATAAAACAATTGGAAGATAACAACAGTTGCTAATACTGGCAGACCTTGAAGACTCCTGCCTCCTGTAGCAAGACTCAAAAGTCTTGATACTGATTTCCTGAATGAAATAAAGTTAAGCTTTTATATACTAAGAAATGCTTCAGCAAATTCACATATTATTTGTGTCTGCCTAGGGCAGTATCTAATTACATGATCTATATAATTCGTTGCATAAAAGCAAATTTGCTTCAAACTTGACAGAGCAACTACTAATAGGAGAGTCTGAGTGCTAAGTGCAGATGACAGAATAGAAAGGCACACAGACATTAAGGACTCTGTAGTGC